GACAGTGCCTGGTCCTGATATTATCACTACCTACTATTATCTATCTACTATAAGAGGGCCAGTCCTATATATCTCGCTTAATAAAAAATCTTTATGTTTTTTGTTGCATTTTTTTAGGCTGTTATGCTCCTAAAAATCAAATTTGATATCCATGGCTAACTTTATGAGTAATCATAAAAAAGTGCTGAAAATTTAGGACCGTCTAACATTTTTTATTTTAAGATATACAGAAAACTTATTAAAATTTCGAGGCAAAATGAATATCTTTTACCTGGTGTAAACACATTTTTGAAGTATGTAACTTGCAGTGCCCTCTATGTGGACAAAAAAAAAATGTCATCAAAGCAGGCTGTGGCTACAAAAATATTTGCTTGTTTTTTTCTCTTGCACGCTATGTACTACATGTCGCCTGTATTTTTTTATATTTATTACATTTTTTATAATTTTATTATAAAAAATGTAGATTAATGTCGGAATTGTTTTAAACGTGTCAACTACAAAAAATTTAATGAAATTAATATATTTATTTTAAACAAAGAATCTGCAATATCAGCGAAGGTTTGCTGTATTCCGCAGGTGCTTGAATAGAATTGAAGTTGTATTGATAGTGCATTACAAACATATTACACTTCTCAATATGTGAAAATAACATTTTTATTCTAAATTATAGATTTTTTTCAAATCACAGTGAACTGTAACAATTTTCAAACCAACAGTTATGTGTAAACTATAATAATAAAAAATTTGTTAAATGATGACATTACTGGGAAAACACATTTACTTTCATACGATGCTACATTTAGTGTAAGCTACTTTGTGTAAGGACAATGTTGAAGACTCATTTCTCTCTAAAGTAAAAAACCAACATTATAATAATGTGAAAAGAAAATCTGTATTTTGCTTAAAAGAAGTACATTATATTTATTAAATTTTTTTGTAGTTAACGTGTCTATAACAATTTCTACTTTAACACGAAACTGTTTACATTTTTTATACCAAGATTGTAAAAAATTTAATATATGTAAAAGATAAAGGCAACGAGTAGTTATCGCACGAAAGAGGAAAAACAAGAAATTTTTGTAGCCCTAGCTGTCTTCGAGGACAATTTTTTTTGCCCGCGTAGAGGTCGCAGCAAATTACATACGATGTTTTAAAAATCTGTTTGCACCAGGTGAGAGTTATCAATTTTGCCATGAAATTTTATGAAAATAAGTTTTCTCTAAGTATCTCTTAAAATAAAAAAGTCAGACGGCCCTAAACTTTCGGCCCTAAACTCTGGTTCTTTTATGATTACTTACAAAGTTGGCCATGGATATCAAATTTTTTTTTACGAGCGTAAAGACCTAGAAAAATGCAACAGACATTTTTGACGTGCGTCGTATATTAAGCGAGATCCATAGGAGTGGCCCTCTTATAGTAGACAGCCTGTATACATAGGATCAAAACCAGGATGTAACTTGGAGGACTGGGAACTGAAGTGAACAGTATATGAAGGTAAGGAAGAACACAATGTGAACAACGTTTCGTCTTGTGGAACTTCCAAGAGAAAGATGATAAACAATGAATTGGTAATTTTCAAGATTTTTCTCAGCTTCAATTTAGCGCTGATATTTATTTTATTTTATGTTATTCGTTTCAGTTGAAGTTTAATACACTACCGGCTGCTTTTGGTTTTTGGTGGTAGGTAATTGCACTTACAGCTTCAGAAAATTTTGCAAGTGGGAGATTTTGCCAAAGCCGGGACAGGACGGTGCAGTAAGTTCTAAGAATGCCTTCTAATCAAACAAATTTAATTTTATGGTATTGTTGCTTAAAACATGAATGATCTAAAACATCTTGATGAAATTTCCGTATATGCTAGTCATATACTATTTATCAACGTAAATTCGTTGACTTGTTTTGGGTGATTCATGTGCTCTGCTTAACGCCGCTTTAGTGATGCAACTGAGATAATCGCTGATTTTGTTTTTAGCATGCAAGTCTGCTTTTATGAGGTAAGGCTAGTAAGGCACTCGGCCGATATTTGCATGCTGGTTCCTTTAAATATGTTTTTATTCAATAAATTAGTCATTTGTATGGATATTTCGTTCTAGGATTACGATGATGCAGTCGTTATGAGAACATCTTTACATTCCCTGTTTCAGCAAAACTCAAAAAACCACCACTCGACCGCAAGGTAGGATATCTGATCGCCCTCAATGTCAGTCGTGACTCAACAGAGATTTCCTTATTATTTATCAGTCCAATTTTGACTAAATTAAAACATTTTTCTTGTTGTTCTTTGTGTTCGTCCATTTTAACTTTTACATTACTGAATATGTATGTCAGTCACGGGTCATAAGTTTTTTTTTAATTATTTCTGTTTACGTTCTAATGACTTGTTTTTCTGCACAGGGGAAACTTGTCGAGAAGATCCTCTTTGGGAGTGGAATTGGAAGAGTCAGATTCCCAATTTACATACAGCAATTCCAGTAGCCCGCAGGTAAAATTTTCGACAATCAAATCATTACTCGCTAATAAAAGACTACATGTGTTTGTGTAATGTTAATATTTGTAGTCAGATCACGTCTAAACAGTTTTAGATGATGAATTCATCATGTATCTATGTTTACGTAACGAATTATCGCTGATAGGGATCTCGCTTAGGTATCGGTGGATATTTTTAAATCTGTTTTCAGAGAAAACTGGAGGAAGGCGACAACGACGATGATGCCAGTAAATATTCCCCAAAGGTACAAATCATAGCGGCCAGCGGAGACAACATCATAGCAGTGGCTAACCCGGCGCTGGCAATGTCACCGGCCATCTTGCCCCCCCTGAACCCCCTCATAGAAGCCCGGGAAAACCGCTCCGACAAAGATTGACCGGCTTGTTTTCTTTACAACATATATTTATCCTTCTGTAACACACTGTAATACTGTGATTTATAACGTAATTTATCCGAAATTGTTATAGTTGACTGATACTTTGTAAGTNTATCAAATCACACCAACTGACACATAAAGATCCTTCAGAGGTTCAAATGTACAGGTGTAACGACTGCGATTTTGAAACTAAATACCAGAAGAATATCAAAAATCATCAACTGACACATAAAAATCCTTCTGAAGTTCAAATGTACAGGTGTAATGACTGCGATTATGAAACTAAATACAAGAGTCATATCAAATCACACCAACTGACACATAAAGATCCTTCAGAGGTTCAAATGTACAGTTGTAACAATTGCTATTATGAAACTAAATACAAGAGACGTATCAAGTTGCACCAACTGACACATAAAGATCCTTCAGAGGTTCAAATGTACAGGTGTAACGACTGCGATTTTGAAACTAAATACCAGAAGAATATCAAAAAGCATCAACTGACACATAAGAAAGTTCAAATGTACAGGTGTAACGACTGCGATTATGAAACTAAATACAAGAGTCATATCAAATCACACGAACTGACACATAAAGATCCTTCAGAGGTTCAAATGTACAGGTGTAACGACTGCGATTTTAAAACTAAATACCAGAAGAATATCAAAAATCATCAACTGACACATAA